AATATATGGAATATATATTTCTAAACAAAAAGTAATCAGCAACAGCATATATTCTGTAGAACTAACACACGTTTTAATGCTGAGGTGTTGTTTAAAATCAAATGTGAATAACACTAAATACAAACATGACTAATATCAGCCAAGACAAACAGCAGTAGAGCTATTAGCTGACACGGTAAGCGCTAATGGTGACCAGGCCTCATTGTATTTTACTTTTTATTTTCAACAGAGGCAGTGCACAGTTACAGTAATTTCAACATATCGAACTGTTTTTAATTCTGATCCATGACAGAATAAGTCAAGATAACTATATGTACAGGGTTGCACATAAAATTTTTKGTCTGGTTCTCAGGGGAGAACCTAGGGTTGTTGCTTGGTGCTCATATTTTCCTTCACTCATTTAACACATTTATGGTGTCAGGGCATCTAACGTTCCCCTGTTATGTTTTATGACTCCTATCAGCTGCAGCGTCTCAGGACATCATGCCAAATCAGTCCAACAAGATTTTAAATTTATTCTTTTACTCTACATAAATTTTGTAAACTACCTAAGTGGCTGAGGGGCTGGGTGTATGTCATATAAACATCACAAACCGAACATTTCATGGTTAAATGTCTTTTAGACCAGTGTTTCCCAAAGTTGGGGTTGGGACCCAAAGTGGGGTCCCGAAACATCAAGGTGGGGTCCTGAAAAGATTTTCAGAATTAATTACATTTTTTCCTTAGTTGTTACAAAGGAGTGAGGTTAGTGTATTTAAAACGGATAAATGTTGTATAAAAATATTGTTACTATGCCCATGTTTAGTTGACCTGATACAAGTGTGTATCATACAAAAATAGCTGGGGGCACAGGTCTCTGCTACTATTTTGTGGGTCAAAAGCTGAAAAGTTTGGGAACCACTGCACTTTGGTTCCCAAAGTTGGGCTTGGGACCCAATTATGGGTCATGAAGCACCTTGGAAAACCTCCAGAAATCAATTTAAAGGGTAATAAAATAATTGCTGATGTAATATTTTTCCTATAACTATTACAAAAACACAAAAAAGTATAAATAAGTATTTATATTTGCGTATAAGCTGTTTAGATTGTCAAAAAGCCTATGCTTTTAGGGTTATTAACAAAGTTAGTGTACTCAGACCAGTAATATTTGGGGTCAAAAGTTTTGCCATGAATATTTTGTGGGTCAGAAGATAAAAAGTTTGGGAACCACTGTTTTAGACTACACATATCCTTCAGATGYCCTGTTTGGTCTTCTGCATCTTCAGCCTTGATTAAACCAGCTTTCCACACTCTCCAGTCCAAGCAGCAAATATCTGTCTTTTGCAAAGAGCACAATAACTTAAAACATACAAATGTTTTATTTGTTAGACTGATTTCTTTTTTAAAAGACTATTTTATTCAAAAAAGATAATATTATTTAGATGGTTTCAGCTCGTAATTATTTATTCTTCGTATTTGATCGTTTAATAAATTACATTTATCCCAGAAAAGCTGTATCACAGTATGGTCCTAAATATAAGTTTAGCAAATCAAGAACCTTGTTTTTTTTATTGTGAATAAAATTTGTGGATCTTTATGTTAAATTAAAATAAGATGTTAAACCTTTTCACCTATAGAGAACATGGCAAGTTGTTTTTAATTTTTTAATATTTATAATTTTTTGACTGGGGTGTTAAACAGAGAATCATCTTTGCTTTAATATATGCTTCTTACTTTTAATAACGTTATTAAAAATAAAAAGAATGAAGCAGATACTTACTGTCAAGCAGAAATGACTAACTCTGCAGCCGTGAGCTACCTCCTCCTCTTCCTCCTGTGTGTGTAATCCATCCTCGTGTTGGTCTAATTCATTCTTTTTGACTTGGATTTCTTCTTGGGTCTTCTTCTGTTTCCCTGTGTTGAGTTTCAGAACAGGCGCCAATCCAGGTTGTAGGGTGTAGTTTGTTTATCCGCCATCAGCAGCTAGCTGGTGATAGTGACAAAGTGAACAAATATGTTAAAATATATATTTTTTAGAAAAGTTACAGACTGCACCTGTTATACAGCTGATATCAGCTGTTCTGAAACCAAAAATCCTGAGTATTACAGAGTGGGGTAAGTTGACTCAGAGTGTCTGCATTAAGCTGGTGTTTAACAAGCTGCTGCTCCTGGGTTAATGCAGACACTCGAGTCAACTTACCCCGCTCTGTGATACTCAGGATTTTTGGTTTCAGAACAGCTGATATCAGCTGTATAACTTAACCCTGAGTTAAGTTGGAGCCTTTTTTAAGTGAGATGAGGGCTAAAAAAAATCTTGAAATTCAGGGTTAAAGTATCCTGATGCATCTCAGTAATCCAGGTAAAAAATCAAAAAGAAAAAATAGTATAGGTCTTCTGGATGGTTCTTCTCTAATGAAACGTTTCATCTCTCTTCCAAGAGACTTCTTCAGTCTGAGAGTTTCAGGCAAAATTCAGGCTTTTAAGCCCTGCCTCCATGTGACTGATACTCACATCACATGGCTATCGTTGACACCTAATTAACACTTATTGTTCACAGGGGGTGGAGTGATACTGGCAATAGCCGCACTGTAGGAGGGGGACAACTGAAAACGGAGGCCTCCACCTCTGTTTAATGATGGACGGTCTTTCTTCACAAAAAATGGCTTCTTTTACTCCTCTCTCAAACCAACGTTCCTCTCTATCAAGAATGAGAACATCCTCATCTCTGAAAGAGTGACCGCTGGCCTGTAAATGAGTGAAAACTGCAGAGTTCTGGCCATTAGATGTAGCTCGTCTGTGTTCGGACATTCTTTTGAACAGTGGCTGCTTTGTTTCCCCGATGTATAACTGGTCGCAGTCCTCCTGGCACTTAACAGCATATACAACATTGCTCTGTTTGTGCCGGGGCACCGGATCTTTGGGGTGAACCAGCCTTTGCCGTAATGTGTTTTGGGGTTTGAAAGCCACTTGGACATCATGTTTAGAGAATAAACGTCTCAGTTTCTCCGAAACACCCGCAACATACGGAATAACCACTGGTTTGGGTCTGGGTTTGGGGTCTTCATTTTCACCTGAAGGTTGCATGGAATCCTGTCTGTGTTTCCTGTCTGCTTTCAGGAAAGCCCAGTCAGGATAACCACACTGCTCCAGGGCYTGTCGTGTGTGTGATTTCTCTTTCTCCCTGGCTCCTGGGTTTGTAGGGACACTGTCTGCAGGGTTAAAAAAGTACCTCACCTCACTTAAAAAAGGCAGATATAAACACTCCTCAAAGCTGGTAGGGTTGTGCACTATTTAAATGCCGGCGTACATAGCAGCACACCAGGAAGGCGGAGTTCAGGTTTCTAAGCTAAAATCCCTCTCTTGCTGCTTGTCCTTTCAGCCGGGTCATGCGCCGGTGTTGCTCTAAGGTAGGTACCCCAAAAATAATTTGTGCAGGAAAAGCGCGCATCGACTTCAATAATTACACGTTTTATTGAGTGAGTGTTTATAGCTCTCAATATTATGTCGCACATTAAAAAAAAACAAGGACAGAAGCAAAAACTAAACAAAACAAACAAACAAACAAAAAACCAAGTGTCTTTGTAACCTTGTTAAATACAAAATATTTTTGTTGTAATTGTTACATGAGTCAAATGTGCATGGACAGGGAAAAACAAGAGAACTCTCTTTAAGAAAGTTTATGCTTTTTTATTGATATTTCTTGTTTAAAAGTCCTCCCCACAGACCCCCCGCTCTTTTGGTCATAATGGTACAATCCAGGAAGTCATGTACAATGTGTAATCTGGAGCTTTGTCGCTGCCGGTCAGTGACAAAACTACACATTTTTATTCAGTGACGTGCTWTTAAAAACGAACGAAGCATGTTTTAAACCATGTTTACTTCTGGTTAAAAAATAAAATAACGTTTAATGTTTGCAATTAGCGTTTTAACCAGTTCCTCCAGCTCTCGTCATGACAGAAGACTGCCTCGGTCTGAGYACGGTGCTCGTCCTCTTAGCTCTTTTAATTTTAATATTTGCTGGTTTTGTTTTGTATTCGGGTCTGCTCACAGTCGTCACAGTGCAAACTTGTTGTTCGCCTTTGAAAAAGATAACATTCGCCTACAGATTTAAAGAAGGAGCATACGCAAACAGCGGAGAACTTTTGAAGGAAGCGCGCTGTGTTGGACCCACAGGGCTCGGGCTCCCATGCATCGGGGTGTTTTATGACGGCCCTAAAAAGGTAAAACATCCACACATCTGCTAAATGGCAACAGCTGCATTTGCAAATACAGATGCAACACATGTTAATAAATGTACCAAGAAAAGTCAAGTAGGTATTTTGAATTCACTAGATGTGTGTAAACGTAATTTTTGTGATATATGTTTTTTAACTACTGTATGTAAAGAAACGTAATGGCATATGATGTATTTCACCGCTAGATGGCGCTGCTGTTTTTCCTTCTATGACAAGCGAATAAATCCATCATTTCTGAACTGCTTGTTCATATTATTGTATTAATTCATTGTAAACTGTTCTTCTCATAATGAATAGCCACTTCAGTGTTATTTTGTTTGCTTATTTTGTGCCACTTGTTTCTTTTTACATTTTCAGGAACTCTAGGGGCATACTTTTCATTTCCCTTTCAGCTTTATTGCACCTCTGGTTTAGATATGGTGCGTCTTGTGTTCAGTTGTATTTATAAATGAACATTATTTTAAACTTTGAGTCTTCAATTTGAAATGGTGGACTGTATTCTCACATAAGTCTTTATGGAATGGCAGTTCAAATTGTGTGCTAATCAGCTGTAGCCCTTTGTGCTGTGAAGAGATGGTACATTTGTGTTAGACAGATGAGCTGCTGCACCCTGACAATGTGTAAAATGGCTTTGTATTTACTTACCAATTGATCAAACTACTATTAAGGGTTGTTATGTAGAAATCAGTGGGCTAACATGAGTTATTAACTTTGGATATTTACAGCCAATTTTATACGTGCAAATTGAAAATATCACCTTTCATCTCRGCGTTTCTATTCCTCAACACTAACAACCAAGCTGTGACAGTATGGTAAAAAGTATGTCACAAGGAAAGAAGGGGGGAAAAATGAACAGATACATTGAATTAGCTCCATTAAAAWAAGTAAAGCCAGGAATACTCAAATTTTTGTGATTCTTACTCATGTATTAATTTTATTTTACACACACTTTTATTGTGTTCTATTTTTGTAAGAGGCATCAGTCAGATCTGAACGTGGCATTGCCATTACTGTGCAAATTTACTGTCCTTATTGTTTTTGCACATTTCTTAAAGACAGATTTCTTCACTGAACACCTCCTTTATCAACAACTCCAATGTATCTGCATGTGTGATTTTTACTCCTCAAATAAGTAGATTAACAGATGAAAGAAGAGTCGGCTCCGCTGGGGTTTAGTCTTTTTTGTTAAACTCAATAATTACTTTATTTATTTTTCATATATAATAGTAACTAACATTAAACAGTTCTTAAACCTGCCAAAGCAACCTGAAGGAATGTAACCAGAGGTCAGTGGACTCCTCCTAGGTCTGCTTCAAATCACTTTTGTTATACTCATCCCAGTCC